CTTTTGGAGCTGTGCAGAATAGGTCTCTAATATTTGCTCCTTTTCCAGCCCAGAATCCCAGCTGTCGGCATTCTCTCTCTTTATGTAAACCTTGTAAAATAAGAGAGAATAGTCATAAGTATTGTGATATAATGTGTAATAATAGCCCATAATGCAATAAATATCGATGTAAAAGCATGATACAAAATGGACGTATCAATCAGTATGTCATCAACATACAAGCAAAGGATAACTCCCTCGCCCCCACCATGGCGATAGTACACACATTTGTCAGCTTCGTTTACAACAAAGCCTGCAACTGTTAAAGTTCTTTCAAACTTCTCATGCCACTGTTTGGGTGCTTACTTGAGTCCATACAAATACTTCAGCAACTTGCACACTTTTCCTTCCTGACCATCTAGTACAAACCCATCTGGTTGTTCCATATAAATTTCCTCATCCAACTCTCCATTTAGCAGTCTTAACATCCATTTGATGAACGAGAAGACCATGTGAGGCAGCTAGTGAAAGTAGAACTCGAATAGTGGTCGGTCGAGCCACAGGTGAGTAAGTATCAAAGAAGTCTTCACCTTCCTTTTGGGTATAACCCTTAGCCACGAGCCGAGCCTTGTACTTTTCAATAGTACCATCAGGCCTAAGCTTCTTCTTGAATACCCATTTACATCCTATAGGTTTGCACCCATAAGGACGATCAGTTATCTCCCAAGTTTCATTCACCAAGATGGAATCCATCTCACTACGAACCGATTCCTTCCAGAAGTCACCATCTTCAGATGCATAGGCCTCTGAAATAGAACTAGGAGTGTCATCTATGAGATACATAAGAAAATCATCACCAAAGGACTTTGCAGTCGTCTGTCTCTTGCTCCTAATAGGAACTTCATTGTTCTCCTCCACGGGATTTCCAAAGTGTTCCATCAAAATGGCAGGTTCAGTAATTGTAACTGGTTCCTGATTCGATGAACTAGGCATCTCCTGATTAGATGAGGTAGCCATATCCTTCATGGGAAAGATATCTTCAAAGAAAGTCGCATCATTCGACTCCATGATCGTACCGACATGCATGTCAGGTACCTTAGATTTTACAACCAAGAATCTATAACCAATGCTATGAAAAGCATATCCCAGGAAAACACAATCCACGGTCTTTGGTCCAAGCTTACGCTTCTTTGGAATTGGCACATTGACTTTCGCCAAACAACCCCAGGTTCGTAGATAAGAGAGTTTTAATCTTTTCTTCTCCCATTCCTCGAATGGAGTTATCTCTTTATTCTTTGTGGGAACTCGATTTAGGACATGACATGCAGTCAATATCGCCCCCCCACCATGCCTTGGAGAGACCCTATGTGTCTAGCATGGCGTTAACCAAATCAGTTAGAGTACGGTTATTTCTTTCGGCTACCCCATTTGACTGAGGTGAATAGGGAGGCGTCCTATCATGGATTATACCATGTTCTGCACAAAAAGCATCAAATTCGTTGGAAAAATACTCTCCACCACGGTCGGACCTAAGCCTCTTGATTTTTCGATCAAGTTGGTTTTCCGCTTCAGCTTTATAGATCTTGAAAAAGTTCAAAGCCTCATCCTTAGATTTCAGAAGATACACACGACAATATCTAGTGGAGTCATCAATTAACGTCATGAAATATTTCTTTCCATCTTTTGTCAAAACACCATTCATTTCACATAGATCCGAATGTATGAGTTCTAGTGGTGCAAGATTTCTCGTTTCCGCAGTCGTGTGAGACTTACGAGGCTGCTTAGCTTGCACACAAACTTGACACTTAGATCCCTTGACAGTGGTGAAACTAGGGATTAAGTTCAATTTGGCTAGTCGCGACATGCAACCAAAGTTAACATGACAAAGACGTGAATGCCACGCATTTGATTCACTATTGTTGTAAATATGATTAACAACTTTATTGCAAACGTCTGATAAGGATAAACGAAACAGGCCTCCTAACTCATAACCTTTACCAACAAAGGTTCCATACTTGGATATTACAAATTTATTCGACTCAAAGACAAGCTTGTAGCCATCTACACAGAAGAGATCCGCCAATAAGATTTTTATTGACGGAGGGGACATAATGCACGTTCTTTAGCCACACGATCTTCCCCGAAGTAAACTTCAGATCGACCGTGCTAACACCACGAACAGAAGCACTTGAACCGTTGCCCATCAGCATGGTTGAAGTTCCTGAGGTCTGATACGATAAAAACATGGAAATATCACCGCATACATGCACATTAGCACCCGTGTCAATCAACCAATCAAGAGAATGACATACTGAAAGAATAGTGGGAAATATACCATACCCAACATCCTTCATGTCAGTGTCTCCAATGACAACATTAGCGGTCTTGCCACCTTTCCCAGGATGACGCTTGTCATAGCGATTAGGGCAACTAGGAGCCCAATGATCAGGATCCCCACACACATGAAAAACACCTTTCTTTTTGTCATTCTTCTTCTTGAAGTTCTTGTGTTGCACAGCCTTGTTCTTCCCATCAAACTTTGCTTTACCATTAAACTTGCCCTTGTTCTTGAACTTGTGGGCTGGAAGTTCTACTTTTGTACCAGATTGGGACTAGATCCTCCATCAATACCTCGAGCACGTGTGTCCTTTGCTCTCGCCTTTTCTTCCACATCAAGAGTACCAATGAGATCCGGAATGGAAAACTCCTGCCTCTTATGCTTCATAAGGTAGCAAAGTTTCTCCATGAAGAAGGAAGCTTAGTGATGATACCTCCGGCAACAAACTTGTCCGGTAGCATACAATTGAAGTGCTCAAGTTCTCTAGCAAATGACTGTATCTCATGATCTTGCTCAACCACGAAGCGATCTTCAGTCATCTTGTAATCATAGAATTGCTCCATGATGTACAACTCAGTGCCAGCATCCGAGACCACAAACTTGGCCTCGAGTGCGTACCACATATCTTTTCCATTGTCAATTGACGCATACGCATCAACTATGTTCTCACCAAGATCACTCAAGAGAGCAGCCTTAAACAGAGTATCCATTTTTTGAAAAGCTTGTTCCTGTTGGGCATCATGCTCCCCTTCAGGTTTGCCAAGAGTGGCGTCATAGCAACTCATGGTTTGAAACCATAAGACCGCTCTCACGCGCCACCTCTTACAGTGGATACCCTCAAACATAGGAGGTCTCATGGAAGCAGCAAAACCACTTGGTGTAAATTGCCTATAATAAGGTTTTTGGATTTTTGGAAATATGAGCAATTTACCAAATAATTTTGCTAACGGAAATACTAGATAAAGCATGACTAATATAGCAGAGATAAAGCAAGTCATGCAATTTGAGAAAGAGAAAGTAGATAGCATCTGCATATATGAAGTTGAACTAAACACATCTAGAACATACACTAGATGAAGTTGCATATACAAAGTAGAACCTAACATATGTAGGGCAGAAACTAGAGCTAAGAGCTGTGGCAGGACTTTTAACAGAAAGAGCAAGAACACGTACGGGACAACAGCAGAAGAAGCACTGGACTTGGGGTCGACATCCTCTCCAGCCATGTCGTCGATGAGGTTGTCGACATTGGGGAAGAAGTCGTCGTCGAGGAAGTAGTCGTCGGAGTCCGTGATGAAGAAGTCAGTAGTCCCCCGGAGCGGTCCTCAAAAACCTTATCACCCTTCTCCCGTACAGGACTCAAAGAGGTGCGGTTTTGGAGGCCTACTGTCCCGACCTGCGGTGCACGCCGCAAGCCGGGATGGGGAAGATCGTAGCAGTAACGCGAGAGGTTTGTGTTGTTCTGGTGCGTCTCTCTGGGAGGAGCGACCTCCCTTTTATAGTTCAGCCGAAGAGGCGAGCCGTTCGGATTCAGTGTCCACTACAAAAAAAGTGGCGTGGCGGCGGAGGAGGAGCGCGCGTGGATGTCCCTCTTGTTCTCATGCTCATAGATGTTGGGAAAGAACCTCCCTTATAAAGAGGTCCAACTTCCTCTAAACTAGCAATGTGAGACTAAACTTTAGAAGTGCCCCTTGCCTTGCACGAATGAGCTAAATGGGCCTCTAGGATTTATTAGGAATTTTTAAAATTATTATTGGGCTGGCCCATAAATAGATAAAATTCTAGCAAGACATAGTCGCCATGCACCATCACCTTGTTCGCCAGTAGTGCCAATTGTCGCACCTCGTCGCTCCATCGCAGCAGACCATGTCTCTCTTTGCAGCATCGCATGCTGCAAGCTGAAAACACGTCACTGCTTGCAACATTGGGGCGTCGCGACAACGGCGACAACACGCCAAAGCTCACAACATTGGTGACAGATCAGGAGGCTGGCAAGCCGCTGCAACAACAACACACAACATTGCGTGCACCGTCAATGAGACGTGCGGTTGTAGCATCGCCCGCCGCTTGCGGCACTTGCTGCAACAACAACCTGACAATCACTGACGGTGTGGGGGACTTTCATCGTATGTGGGGTGCTACGGCCATACGCGGCCTAACTCATGACCATGACTAGTGAATGTTGATTTGAGCACCGGTCCTTCCTCCGGCCCCGGCGACCAGCCCCCACCTTCTTGCACCCACACCATCAACCTCCTTCTCCCCTGCCGGCGACGTAGCGGCGAGCCGTGTTGTATCCGTCTCCGGCCAGGTCCCGGCTCTCCGTTACACGGTACGCCGGAGCCTCCCTGTCCCAGGTCAGTGTTTCGCTCTATGCCACTGAGGCCAAAAATAGAAACCAGACCCCTGGTAAATAGCCAACGTGATTACTCATAGATACCGTGACTGGCACCAGCCTCCAGCCATTAATATTTTCCAAGCCACACCCTCTTGGCTTACATCTGTACCGTGCCCAGCGCCAGCCCAGCATTACTACACTACACCTCAGCGCTTTCGTCATCGCCGCCGTATATAACAAGCGAAACCCGTCGATGACTCGCCTCAACTCAACCCAACACAGCAACGACGAACACACGTCGACGACAAGACACTCATACGTACGCTCGCTCTCCCACTCGCAGCAATGCCGGCCATGGTGGCGCATGAGGTGGAGCGCGCGGGGGAGGCGCCGCACTTCCTCGTGGTCACGTTCCCGGCGCAGGGCCACATCAACCCGGCGCGCCACCTCGCGCTGCGCCTCCTCAGCGCCTCGCCGGGCGCCCGCGTCACCTTCTCCACCCCCGTCTCCGCGTTCCGCAAGATGTTCCCGGAGAACGAGGGCGCGGAGGCGGTGGGCCACGTCGACGGCGCCGGCGTCCACTACGTGCCCTACTCCGACGGCTTCGACGGCGGCCTCGACACGTCAGCGCACGACGTCTCGTACTACATGTCCAATCTCAAGGCCGCGGGGTCCCGCACGCTGGGAGGCGTGCTCGCGCGCCTCCGCGACGCCGGCGCCCCCGTCACGCAGGTGGTTTACACCGTGATGCTCTCCTGGGTCGCCGGCGTCGCGCGCGCGCACGGCGTCCCCGCCGCGGCCTATTGGATCCAGCCGGCCACCGTGCTCGCCGCCTACCTCCACTTCTTCCGCGGCACCGACGACCTCGACCAGGCCGTCGCCGCCGCGGCGAGCGACCCGTGGGCGGACGTCCGCGTCCGGGGGCTGCCGCCGATGCGCGTGCGCGACCTGCCGTCGTTCTTCACCATCGCCTCCGACGTCGACCACCCCTACGCCTTCGTCCTCACCGCGTTCCGCGAGCTCCTCGACGTGCTGGACCGCGGGGACACGCCCACCGTGCTCGTCAACACGTTCGACGCCATGGAGCCTGATGCGGTGGCGACGCTGCACCAGCACGGCGTCGACGTCGTCCCCATCGGCCCCGTGCTCTCCTTCCTGGACGCATCGGCGACGTCGGTCAACAACGACAACGACCTGTTCAAGCCGGACGGCAAGGGGTACCTGGAGTGGCTGGAAGCGCAGGAAGCGGGGTCGGTCGTCTACATCTCCTTCGGGAGCCTGTCGACGATGAGCAAGCGGCAGATCACGGAGGTGGCGCGCGGCATGGCGGAGATCGGCCGCCCGTTCCTGTGGGTGTTGAGGAAGGACAACCGCGGCGAGATAGACGGCGACGAGTCGTGCAGCGGCATCGGCTCCAGCGCGGGCATGGTGGTGGAGTGGTGCGACCAGGGGAAGGTGCTGTCGCACCCGGCGGTGGGGTGCTTCGTGACGCACTGCGGGTGGAATTCGACGCTGGAGAGCATGGCATGCGGCGTGCCGGTCGTGGGGGCGCCGCAGTGGTCGGACCAGGGCACCAATGCGTGGCTGGTGGAGCGGAAGCTCGGCACCGGGGTCCGGGCCGCCGTGAGTGAGAAGGACGGCGTGCTGGAGGCCGACGAGCTGCGGAGGTGCATCGGCTTCGCCACGTCGGATGTGGTGCGCGCCAAGGCGGCGCTGTGGAGGGAGAAGGCGAGGGCGGCGGCGGCCGTGGGCGGCTCATCCGAGAGGAACCTCAGGGCGTTCGTCGCCGGCAACTAGCCAGCCGGTAGGCCGGCTTGCCTACGCTGCATGGTCCTGCAAAATCGACAGAGAATAGCAGGACGAGACGACTCGAGCAGCTGTGTCCCTGTCGATTCGGCGCTGCAGCTGTTTTTGTTGTTGTTGCGGAAGACTGTTTTTATTTTATTGCAAAAACCACGTGTTCCATGTGGTGCCAAAGACTGTTGCCTGTTGGTAGCGCTGCTACCTGGGAGAGAGATCGAATGCCATCCGCATATTGTCGGGATTTCCGCACCAGTGTCAGATGTGTGTGCCTCATAGGACGATAATACCACACGCACGGAGGGAAACAACGTACTTTTACGGATGGCAAATTTCTCTGTTTAAATAGATTTTCTTTTGCAAGAAAACTTTCAACTGTCAAGGTAGTACAAAGAATACAAGAAGCAAAATTTATATCTAAGTCCGTAGACCACCTAGTGACAACTACAAACACTAGAGCAAGCCGAAGGCGCGCCGCCGTCATCACCCCTCCCTCGTCGGAGCCGGGCAAACATTGTTGCAGTAGACAACCGGGAAGTCGTCGTGCTAAGGACCCATATGACTAACACCAGAACAGCAACCGCCACCGATGAAGAGAAGTATAGACGGGAAAGATCCAACCTGCAGACACACGGACGTAGGCGAATGAAGACCGGATCCAGTCAGATCCACCGAAGACAAACGCCGACCGGATCCCACGAGATCCGTCGGAGATAAACCTCCACACGCCTTCTAACGATGCTTGAAACATCACCGAGACGGGGGTTAGGCGGAGAGGACCTTATTCCATCATCAAGAAGCCGCCGCCGCCTCGTCTTCTTAAGCATGACATAAACCCCACAAAACTCAAAAATTCATCTAAAAATGGAGTCCTCCCGCCGGCAAGTGCCGGGATCCACCGTGCCTCCATGATCCAAGGATCATAGGAGATGAGCCAGATCGGCGGCGCCGGTGAGAGACAAGGAAACCCTAGATGGAAGTTCGCACGTGGGCTAGATGGAAGGGGCAGGAGCCCTGTTCAAATAGATTTTTGTTATAGAAGGAAGGGGAGCCTCCCAGAGCGCAGAAATCTATTAAAATTATAATACTACCAGAGATTTAAAATTATGCGTTCCCTCCCTGTGAGGTTCCTGTTAAAATTATACTAGTATTTCTTAGGTGAGAGTTGCAAAAGTCAAATTATCGTTAATGAAATTGAAACATTAAATTTTGTAATATTAGTTTCCTAGCCAGTTAAGGCAATTTCAATGGTCACGTTTTTTTATAGGTTACTAACTGAATTTCTAAAGTGTTAACATAACAATTATTATTCCTGATTTCCTTTTTTGTAATATGTTTTTCCACGAACAGATGCTATTTGATCAAGGCTGTGTGTTTTCATGAAGATGTTTTTTTCATCTAGGAACATGTCATGAATAGACATCTTTTCATTGAGGGACGTGTCTTTTTAGACAGAAGCATCCTTTACTAAGAGATGTGTCTTTTGGCCAAAGGAATGCCTGTTTTTCACGGCTAGACATTTGTTTCACCATAAGACGTGTAGTTTTTTTTTACTATAAGAGATGTGCTTTTTTAGTCAAAGGACATGATTGTTTGTAAGCCCAACTATCAAAATCTGCTAACCTCTCTCATCCGAGCAGACTTGTGTGCTCATGCTTCAACTTGAACGTGCATCTTACCCCCTTTTTTGTGGGGGCTCTAGACTTTTCTGGACTGGCGCTATGCCGCTCTAGCCTTCTCTCCTCCTCTGCTTTTCCTCCTCCCTCTCTCCACATAATCTTGTTCTTGTTCTCTAATCTCCTACTATTTCTCCCATCTATTTTTCTGATTACTCTGCTTTTCCTCCTGCTATTTTGTTGCCTCTCCCTCGTTTTTCCCTTCGCTAGTTAGATGTGAATATGGACAGATCTTCTACTCGCATGGAAGATCCTGATGCTCTTCCGCAGAAGGCGGATCTGAGAAGAGATGGAGTAAATCAAGTCTCGCAGCTTTCCTCTCGGGTTGTGAGGTCAGATCCCGGGATTGAACTCAACATGCAAGCGTTGTCGATCAATGAGCCGGAGGTAGTTCATATTCAGGCTGAGCAGTACAGGCAAGAAGAGGGTCAGGATGCAGAGTTCAATATTCCGATGAAGCTTGCATCTACAGGAGGTCCTATCAGGGTTCTTTCCCTTCAGGCTGTGCGGCAATCTATGGCTAGAGTATGGAAGGATAACTATTATGGTATATCACAATTATCAAGGTACATCTTTGTGGCTCATTTTCGTTCTTTGGATGCTGTTATGTTTGTCATTACTCGTCAGCCTTGGAGCATGGGTTCAGACAATTTCTTGCTTGAATGGATGGATCCAGAGGAGCAAAATAGGAATATTCAGGACTATAAGTTTGACACTATCTACGTGACTATTCGGATTTATGGTATTCCCATGAGATTTAGAACTCAAGCTCTACTTGCAAACATCTTGCAAAGTGTTGGCCAGATCTCAGAATTTCATCCTATAAATCAGAGTATGATATTTGCTAGGGAGAATTACATTTGGGGTACCATTAAAGTTCAGGTTAGTAAAGCAGTCAGAGATAGAGTTTGGGTTTCTTTTGCCAAGGATTCTGCTGGTTGGGCTTACTTATTCTATGAGAAAATTGGCAGAATCTGCACTTTTTGTGGAGTTATGTTTCATAGTGTTCAGCATTGCAAGATCAGAAATAGTGTTCTCATTTCAAGAAACAGGCTGCAAGTTTCTTTGGAAGAAATCTCACCAAATAGATTTGGGCAGTGGATGACTAATGCAGAGTTGATTCCTACTCTTTCAGGAGGAAATGTTCAGGCAGAAGCAAATTCATTCTCATCTTTCATCAATCCTCAGCTAGCAAGGTTGCAGAAGCAGTTCATAGAGGATCCCAAAGGAAAAGGAAAGATGTCAGAAGAGGATTCTGCTGAAAAAGGAAATCAGAAGGTATTATCTTTAAGGAAAATTAATGAACAAAATAAAAGAATGGAAGGAGAGTTCATTTACAGTCAGCAGCAGAGTCAAAGTGGTGATTTAATGGATACAACGGTGTTACCAGATGCAGGTAATAAGGAGACAGATATTGGGCAAAGCAATTACGTAGAAGGAGGGCAAGTTGAAGCTCTTCAGCATTCAGTACAACAAAGTGGTGCTCTTGCTGACCCGGAGCAGATAGGGGGTGCGAAACAGTCGGGCCCATTATCTCAGCAGTTGCCAGGCTCTCGGTGCACGTCTGCTGAAGAGATGCATATTCAGGGACAGAGATATGAGCCAGATTTGGACCAGCAGACTGCCCAAAATAATCCTCTTCGCCTCGCAGATATTCCTAGTCGGTGCGTTGTCCCTTCATCTCACTTTGTGCAAACTTCCCCTACCTCTTCTATTCAAATGCATTTGGAGGACAAAGTTTCCGGTGCAAATGTCGCTTCCCTGGGCGCAGCGCTTTTCCCTTCTCCTACCCGCCATCCCATTCCCTCGCCTACTCGATCCAGTCCCAAACGTACATCTGCCTCACTTTTTGGTATCCCCTCTCCTCCGGCGAAGAAGGCTGCCAGTCAATCAAGCTTACTCGGTGCTCCGCCAGACACGCAAGTTTTCATTGGACAATCTTATCCAGCTGGTGGTGTGGGAGCCGCCCCTGTTCTTAGTGACGGTGTTGCCAGCACTGTGGTAAAGAGTTCAGTCAGAGGAGTTTTTTTGGGGGGCGCTGAGTTTCCTGGATCCACAACATCTCAACGGAGCTACCATCGATCTAGGAATAGCAGATGGGACATTCCTCCGAACGGCGAATCTGGAAGTGTGCGTCCTAATTTCCATGGGTTTCTTCGCAATCGTGCTCGTTCTTCCACTTGGAAGCGCGACAGCGGATCGGCTCAACTGGACAGTAGCAATAATGTGTGCACAAGCCGATGCAAAAATTTGGGGAGCATGTCTTTTGAAGCTAGCATTGAACATTTATCAGTTATGGCATTTCGTCAGCACGAAGGAGGAAGCTATGATCCCTCGACCCTGAGCACACCTTCACCGTCTGTCAGTGAGGGTACAGTTGGATCCCGTCAGGGGGCTTTCTCTCCTCCTGGCATTGATCGCCTCCATCACAAGGGTCTGCATGTTCATGGTAGCATTTGTAGCCCTACAGCTCAAGTCACAATGGAAAATCAAGATGACTCTAGTACACTGGATATTAACAAGAATCAGTCTGGACATAACATGGAGTTGGATGATGATGCAGATAGGAACTTAGCGCAATCCTTTTCTCGGGCAGCGGCGCATGGCCCTAACGCGCCTCATGCGCCATGAAAGCCATAGCTTGGAATTGCCGAGGTATGGGCCGAGGCCTCGGTAGTGATCGAATGTTGTTCCTAGCAAATCTGATCCGTTCTACGAAAGCTCAGGTAATATTTGTTTCAGAAATCAAATCTTCGAAGGTTCATTCGGTTGATCTTGTTAATAGGTTTGATGTGGCTAACAGTTTTGTTGTTCCTTCTAGAGGTGCTTCAGGAGGGCTCTGGCTTATGTGGAATGATGATCTTAAAATCTGTGTTCATAGTTCCTCCTTTCACTTTATCCTAGCCAATGTAGTTCATCTAGCCTCGGGGGTTCACTTTTGTTTGATATGTATATATGGTGATCCTTATCATAGGCAGACTAGTGCCGTTTGGAATCAGGTTTCCACTTTTGTGTATGATAACCTCGGAAAACCCATGATCTGTATGGGAGACCTTAATGATATTTTGTATGATACAGATGGTTGTAATGGTAGTGTAAATTATTTTCGTATGTCTGCTTTTCTTTCTATTGTCAAAAATTGTGGTTTCTTTGACATCGGTTTTAGTGGTCCTGCTTACACTTGGCGCAATAGGCAGCACACTGTTAATCCTATTTACAGACGTTTGGATCGTTGTCTTGTTAATGCTAATCGGTGTGCTCATTACCCCAATACTAAGGTGCTTAATTTACCTATCATCGTTAGTGACCATGCTCCCATAC